AAAATAATTTTGAATAGAAATAAATGAGAAAACATCCCATGTTCATATATCAAAAGACTTAGTATTGTTGAGGTATCAATAATTCCTAAGGAATGAAGGAACTCTAGCAAGCTATCAGATAAGAATGAAGGAAAAATAATTTTAAAGGATGGTCAATATGATCAAAGCACAACATATGTAGGTATGGACATGTCACAGTGAAACCTAATTTCTTGCACGGTATGTACTAATTGCAATTTTAAAATCCTAGTCGTCTTCTTATCAGAAGTTGAAAAACTGGCCCTGAAGTTCTTATTGAAATATACAGAGCCTAGAATGGAGAAAACGATCTTCAGAATAACAAAATTCTGACTGGAAAACCTTACTACAAAGCTTTAAAAAATGTTTAAGATAAAATAATTTAAGGAAAATGAGATGGGGAAATTGAGATCAAAGTGGTTGATAGTCTCTCTCTCTCTCTCTCTCTCTCTCTCTCTCTCTCTCTCTCTCTCTCTCTCTCTCTCCTCTCTCCATTCTCTACCCTGAGTATTATCATCTTAAAATTATTTGAGTTTAAAAATTGTGTATATGCAACAGTTAACCAAAAGGTAAAAAATAAAAAAGGATGATGGTCACATAGATAGGAACACTATTAAGAATCTGAAAATAAATCCCTACATTTATGGTCAACTGATTTTTCACAATGTTTGCCCAAACTTTGGTGGTGGAAGGAGACTAACCCAGGTCTGACTGGCTACAAAGCCAAGATTCGTTAACATCATTGGAGGGATTGCTTAAATGAGTCCAACTTTCAAAGATCTCAAAATCCTATCTGGGAGCAAGAATGGAGAGGAAGAAAGAGGAGAGAGAGAGACAGACAGAAAGAGAGACAGAGAGAGACAGAGAGACAAAGAGAGAGAGAGAGAGCTAAGTCCTAAGGGCTCCTATGTCCAACTTCCCTCAAGGTTAACCTGACATTTTCAGGCTGACAGTTTCTGGCAACCCACTTCTATTTAATTAGGTGTGCATCTTAAGTAAGCATGTAAACCTGGGCAGTTGGGGAGAAACATGATACACTTGTTCTCAAAGCAAACCTCTGTGCTTTTGTATAGAGTACTATTTAGAAAATATTAAAACATTTCATAGACAAGAATATATGCATAACAATAAAATAAATGAATGCTTATGTACTCTAATTAAAGAACCAACAATATTATTACCACCTTTACACTAAACCTACTAGAATTCAAAATCTTTGGTTTGCTTTGTTCGTTGCCCTGTCTTCTAACACCTAGAATGGTACCTTACATATGGTAGGTGTTATGTATCTCTCTTCTTCAGATCATCACCCTCTCTTCTTAAGATCATCACCCCAACAATACCTTAGAGCTTAGCACTGTCCTAAATTCAGGAGCTGTTATATTCTTAAATTTTGATAATTTTTTCCACATATATTCCTAAACAATATTGTTGCTTTTGGCTCTTTTTTTAAATTTATACAACAGAAGTAGGTGCATCCTGTTATTAGCTAGGTCTGTTAAACATTAGTGTGTAAGATTTACCTGTGAAGTTTCACTCAGTCCTTGTCATTGCTGGCATATATTTTATTGAATCGATATGCCATAATGTAAGCTCTCTTTTGTCCTGTCAGTAGATATTTGGCTTTTATGTGTTTATAAACAAAGCTACTACAAGAATTCATGCATGTGCCTCCTGATCACATGTGCAGATGTTTCACTGGCGAATGAATCTGGGAGAAGGAACTGCAGTAAGAATTTTTATTTTCATCTCCCAAAGTTTAGCCCATGAGTCAGAACTACAGCATGCCCTTATGCACACTAAGATAGTCTGTAGGAGAGCTGCTGTCCAAAATATTTTGAGAACTCAATAAAGGATAGGGGATAGGAGAAAAAAGAGAGGAGAAACTTGTCTAGTGGGACCTGCCATTACTCGAGCCTTTAATCAAAGTAAGTTGTAGTTCATAAAAATCCAGATTCTAAAATCCTCTTCATTATTTTTTCTCTCCTATTTTCTTCTAGTAATTTTAAGGTGTCCTTTATTAAGTTCATGTCTACTCAACAAAATGGTGATTGTTTTAACCTTCTTTTGACTATACATTTGATTGGATTATTACCAATATCTATATTTTAAATTTTGATGTGGATAAAAAATGTGTATTTCTTTAACTTTGTAATAATAATACCTTACCCTCATAACAAAATTGAAGTGTGCAGCACTATATTAATTCTATATAGAATTTGCATAGCACTGCTTTCAAACTTACCTGGCTTAAGTAACACTTTATATCCATTGAACAGCAACTCTCCTTTCTTTCTTCCTTTTTTTTTTTTTTTTGAGACACCTTTGACTGTCCTAGAATTCACTTTGTAGATCAGGCTGGCCTCAAACTCACAGAGATCTACTTGTCTCTGCCTCCTAGGTTCTGTGATTAAAGGCCTGTGTCACCACACCCAGCCTCAACTCTCTCTTCTTACAATCTTTTTTAAAAAGACCACTTCACTTATCTATTTTCTGTATTTTTTCCACTTTGTTAATGCTACATGTAATTTGTACCTAAAAAAGACATTTGTTGTTGTCACTTATACTCATATCTTTTAAAAACAATCCCGTCTTTCATCTGTTTTCTTATATGTAGCAGTCAGAAATCATTATTTACTACATTATTTTAATTTTCTTTGCTCTTAAATGTCTATCTAGTAGATGGTGAGCTGCAGAAGGGAAAGAACATATACTAATGACCACTATATCTCTAGGTTTTAGCCTTGTGACTCATCCATGGGCCAGTGGCTATAATCTACAAATTTCCAACTTCCAACCATATTACACAGTTTGTCAGTCATATAACCTAATTTGTCAGTAATTAAGGATCTTCTTTTTGGAGTCAGACCTAGCAGATATGGAATCTTAGCATTTCTGTTTACTAGATGTATGATTTTGCATAAATGTGCTTAATTTCTCTAAACATCAGAATATAAAGATAATCCAAAGTCACCTGGAAAATTTGGGAGGGAAATTAAATGAGATAATATGTATGAAATGGCCTGGCATGTTGACTCCCTCCCTACATGTATTTTTTATTTTATTTCGCTTGTGTTAGTCATAGAGGCTTTAAAAAGGTGGAAAGCAGAGGAAGAAAGTTATGAAAATTTTCTTCTGCTTCTTTCTGGACTGAGAATGGAGGTGCAATATTTACCCAAGTGAATGACATTTTCACGAAAACAGTGAGTGATGTTCTTTGAGCTTGGCTGAGTTGTATATTTGAAATGGTCTCTTTTTCTTTCAAACACGTGGATCTGCTATCCTTCTTGATTCTGTTTACTTTCTAGTAATGGCATGAAATGGGGCGTTTGATAGAGAATACAGACCACCATAGCTAGTTGTTGGATTTTCATATTTATAGGACAAATATTTTCAATTCTTTCTGTTTTACTCAGGTCTTGAAGAAAGGCTAATATTCCTGTCCTGGAGACTTAGAAATTGTAGTTTAAGTTGTCCTTGCTTATGCCTTGCCAGGGCTCCTAATTTAGAGTGGGAGGGAGAAGAAATTTGAATACTTTGCTGGATACTAGGGCCTATGCTAAGCTTGAAAACAAGGAGCCATTAGTAGATAGCAAAGGTGAGTAGTGAGAAGAATTTAGGAAATGAAAACTATTTTGGATTTAGAATAAAATAAATGTGGCTCGGTTTCAAATCATTTTAACTTTGTCATTTCTTATTCTTCCTTGTTTCCGCTGTACAATAGCTATACTAATGAAGAGAATAATCTTGTTTTGTTTAGTTGTTATGGGGTGATGAAACCACTAAGCACAAGAAATAGACTCCAATTATGGCTCATTTTTCTTCCTTTTTTGGTAGAGAAGTACTGATTAAAAAAATGGAAGTTGTAGTCCTATGGCTCAGAGTGTGCACAATTGTCATTTATGTGAGGCAGATTAACATAGGCAGTCACTTAAACATTTTGTTTACATTTTGACATAGGACATGGAACATAGAAAAAATTTGACGTTTAGTTAGCAAGAAGCATATTCTATTTGTACAAATGAGTTAATTACTAAAAGAATGGGAAACTGACATACAGTGAAGAGTTTAGAATTGCTTTTCTGTCTCTTTTCCTTCACATCTACCTGTAAGAATTTAGACCCAGGTCTTGGAGATAAGCAGCTCGACTAGTTAGGTAAGAAGTTAGACTTCTAAAGCCTGATCCTCATCCAGGAAACCTGTAAGTCTTGTAAAGGTCAGGTGTTTTGGCAGCATCCCTCAAACTATTGGACACTGCTGGGTATCATTTCTCAGTATAAGCCTCTGGCACAGGGATTCTGTTACTTTTTGTTACAGAGCAGGGCCAGGTACATGCGCATGTGATACAGAGAGGCTCAAAAGGAAAGCAAAGGATTTGATTTAAAAGACAAATGAAAACTGGTATGATAGTACTGATTTTATCTTTCACTTGTATATTAATTTCAAGAGTAACTCCACAATTGATTCATGTCGTCACTCATAGCAATAACTCAGTACTACCAGGGACAATATTCCTGTTTTAGGTAAGACTCCAAGAGCTAAAATACATAAAATTCTTCTGATATTTCATATGGTTTGATCATAGGCCTCCTTTTGGGAGAAGTAAGGTATAGGGTTAGGTTCATGCCATTTAATGACTGAAAGTGTTGTCTGAGCATCACATTAAGTTGACACCTTAACTTGAGGTTTCCTGCCTTCTTCCTTCCTTTACAAATGCAGAGCCAGCCAGTGAGATTGGCTACTCCCTGAGAATTTGTTTAATCCCTTGGCAGGATCCAAAGTGTTCTTCCAATACCATGGGAAACCTTACAAACACCATGCTCAGGGAAAGTCTCAGCTTCACACTGATTGACTGGAGCAATATGTAGAATAATCATTAATTAATATGTACAGATTCTCAGAAAACCATAGACTTCCGATTGATTTCTATCACCCACTGACATGTGCTGCTTTGTTTTTTGTGTGTGCGTGTGTCTTTTCAGTTTGGACAGTGCCAGGGAGCACGTTTTACCCATCGACTATTACTTTCCACCACAGAAGACCTGCCTGATCTGTGGCGATGAAGCGTCTGGCTGTCACTACGGAGCTCTCACTTGTGGCAGCTGCAAGGTCTTCTTCAAAAGAGCCGCTGAAGGTAAAACCGTCTTACCTACTTCCTGATATTTTTCTTTTTCTTCTTCCTCCTAGAGAGGGACAGCAGCCTTCCAGGGCCCTTGGATAATCCCAGGGACTGAGTCATTAGCAAGGGCCCTGTCACAGAACCTATATTAAAGACACAAATGGTTATATTTGCTGAGCTCCATTGACTGCCTTGGTTGTACAAGCAATGTTGGTGATGAAGGTGGTCCCAGCTGGTGCTTGGTGTTCGGTGGATCCTAGGAATGAAAGCAAAATTAATGATTTGAAAAATTAAATTTCCTTCCTGCTTGTTTTCAACTCTGCTGCATAGTGAGGAAAAAAATTGTCCTTATTAGGGAGGTTAGAAGTCGAGAAACCCCAACTGAGTCTGCAGGCTGTTCTATGTAGTGAATACAAGACTGTTCCTTAGCAAAAGCTTCCTGGCTTTAACCCCAGAAAGAAAGTGTTCTCAGTGTTCGGCAGACCATCAGTGTCTGCACCTGCTCCCTCCTGCTTGCTGCCTCTTTGGGACCTGTCTGCAATAACAACTCCAAGGTAGATAAAAACTCAGAGGGAAGCAACAGTTTTATTCTCTTCATCAGAGGACTGCCTTCAGGGCAGGACAGTTGGTCCAGAATCTCCAGACAAGTTGCATTTTATATCTGGCTGAGTGGGCTGAAACCTACTTGTTATCTGCATAGATTTCAGATGTGCCTAGCCTACATAATCTAGCAGAAACTCCCATTCTAGACCTTTAATTTAGTCTAGTAATCCCTCCCTCCTTGATCACCAAGACTTAAGCCTTCTGTTCATACACTCTACTACCCTCCCTCTGTCTGGAACTCTTTTCCTAAATAGACACTGGGAAGTTGCCCCTAGATGCTCTAACTGTGGCACCAGAGTCAATTTTAAGTACCAATTTGCACCCCGGCCGTGGCTTCCCACAAAGGAAGAGCTTCCTGCCAATGAATTTTCCTTCCTTTTGCCTTGTCTGGAAGAGTTGAATTCTAAGTCAGAACCAAACAGAGAGCCTTTCCTCATTTGAAAAGAAATGCCTTTTCTGAGGACTCTACTGAGCACAACAGAAGCACCAGTGAATATTTGGCAACAAGAGAAAAGGTAGAAAGTAGGTGCCCTTACACTGCTCTCCTCACTGATAGCCATTCTTCATGATTTTAGTTGCAACATTTTAGTAGGTGGTAGAAATACATTCAAAACAGAAAGCTATCATTTTCTTTTCTTCCATTTCCCAAAAAGTGCAAGGAGGTGACTAGCATTTGGTATTACTAAAATGGGCTGCATGTTTTACCTTTACTCTCCCACATGGAGCATTGCTGCTGTTCATGATAGACTAGTATGAGATCCAAGGTCCTAGGGCATAAGCATAGACATTTAGAAAGAGCCTTAAAGCAGTGCCTTCCTTTATTAACAGTACTTAAGAAAAAAAAACAGCTATCAGAAAATGAAGTGAAAACATGTTCCAAGGACTTCAGATCACTCCAGCTTCTCCAGTAAAACACCCCTGTTTTCTAATACCCTGTCACAGACCACCCTGTTTTTACAGCAGGGAAAGAAGCAGAGTAGCATTCTGAAGCTACTATTGGCAGCAGGCCTGGCACTAGAGTAGTAGCCATACCAGATGCAAAATGAGTTCAAGTGAGCTAATGAATAATCAATAGATTATATCATGACCAGTGCCACGTTTGGGTCTTAGAAAACTAGGTGACCAAATGATTGCTTTTAGAAAACAGGAGAAAGATCATTTATATTGTAAAAGTGAAGATCTTTTTCAGCCATACTATACTACGCTACATGGCAGTTTTCTGGAGAATTTACAACTAAAAGAAGGCAGAAGGGCAGCTGCCAGGGCTGCATGACAGGATCTCTACCATCCTATAGATTCTAGACTATTAGACAGCAGGAAAGACAAGCAATGTGGGCTGGAGGAGTCATTCAATGTTCAGAACAGAAAAACCCAGCAAGGTCTTAAAATGATTCAGACCCTGGAGTCATGGAAGTTCCTGAAACTCAGTAATATTTTATTTAATAAAATCAAGATCACCAATGGATATTTGTCTTGTTTTGTTTTTACTTGCACAATATTATATAAGTTTATTTCACCATTTTTCCATAACACAAATTAAATGCAGTGCAATTGCTTAAAGACCATGGTTTGCAAATCAGAAGTTTATGCATGAAAAAAACATTCTGACTAGAGAATATGCTCCATGCAAAAATTCTAGTAGGGGGCAAATTAGCTACTTTATTTTTATTTATTTTACTAGTTTTTGGAGTATCTCACACATGAGTACTGTGTTTACATCATTTCCATTCCCCACTCTCCCCTCTTCTACTCCTCCCCAATCTCCCCTCTCACTCCCTTTCAACTTCATGACTTTTTAATTACTGTAGCGCGCGCACACACACACACACACACACACACACACACTGTCATCATACACGCAACCAAGGAATGGATGGAGATATATATGTATATGTGTGTGTGTATGTATGTATGTGTATATCTATGTATATGTGTATATGTATGTGTATGTAGATATGTATATATATGTGTGTGTGTATGTATCTATGTATATGTATGTATCTGTGTGTGTGTGTGTGTGTGTGTGTGTGTGTGTGTGTGTGTGTGTGTGTGTGTTTAACCCCACTCAGTGTTGATCATATGTATATATATTTAAGAATGACCATTTTGGGGCGATAAAGTATATTGGCACATTTGTTTAATCCCAATACTTGGGACATAGAGGCAAGGGTATTCTAAGCCATTCTGATCTATATAGTGAATTCTGGAACAGCCAGGAAAGCTATGTAGAGAGACCCTGTCTCAAAAATACCCAAAAAAATGACCACTTTGGGTTGGATAATCTATCTCCCCACTCCATTTCCTCTTGTGTTCCTACTACTCCTCTTCAAATTCATGACTTTTTCCTCTTGAATTTTTATTAATATATATACATGTATATAAATATGTATATATAAGTACATCTTGCTGAGTTAAATTAGTGTTGCTCATTTATATATGTGTTTACAGCTAACCATTTGAGATTGGATAACCTATCAGGAAGCTAGTCCCAGAGAAAATTGAATCTTTCTGTCTCAGTAGCCATTAATTTATTTAGTGGTGTGACTTTGTGAGATTTATCCAATCTGCATTGATATGGCACCTGGTGTTGCCATTTTGCTGGTCTTAACTAAGCAACCATATTGTTGAGATTTCATGCATATAATTTCCCTGTCAAATATAGAAGACGTTATCTCACAGAAGATGTCCTGCCCGTGTGGCTTTTACTACTTTTGTACTCCCTCTTCTTCTGTACAAGAGCTGTGTTGTAGATGTGTCAATTGGGACTGGGCATGCCAAGGTCAGTTGGTCTCTGTATTTTGACCAGTAGTGACTTTCTGTAATGATCTCACTCTACTACAAAAGAGGCCTTTTTTTAAATGAGGAGAGTTACACTAATCAATGGGTAAAAGGGTATTTAGAATGCAATTAGAAATTATAATAGTTTATCAAAGTAGTAGGTTCTCCTCTAGGGTCCATAACCTCACCAGTCACAAATAACTAGCCAGGTTTGCAGTACCAGGCATAAATTCCCTCCTACTAAGGGTATCTTAAGTCCAGTTTGGTGGCTATTGATTACCCCTCCCAAGATATATGTCATCATTGCACCCTTGAGGATATCTTTCTGTTTTGGTCATTGTTGTCATTCAAAATCTTTACAGCTGGGGACGACTATTGATTGATTTCCTCCCTTGGCATAGCTAGCTCCTTTGGATACTGAGAGTTACTTCGCAAGGAAGAGGCTTTCAGGTCACTACCAATTCAATTCTTCCAAGTCCTGTGCCCTGTGTATGTGGTGTCTTTAGCAATAGGGACCTACCTTCAACTTCTGGGAGGGAGCCAAGGGCAATGACAATAGCCTGTATTATTTTAAGAATCTTTTCAACTCTTCTGACAAACAACTCTAAGGGAGGGTTCTCATGCCTAGACTGAGGATTTTGTTAGATAGTCTATGGCACCTTCGGATGTCTTACAGAGCCATGGAATGTACATAATCTGAGCTCTTTGGTTACTTTGGAATGTTGGCCCCAGGTTTCAGTTGAAAGATATAAGAAAAGTATGTTATAGGTAAACAAAATAAGACAAAAGTATTACTATTGCAGCACTCAGCAAGCTGAGGCTAGTGTATTTGTAAGCTTGAGGCTTCTTGGTCTATACAGTGAGTTTTAGGCCAGCCAAGAATACCTAGTGAGGCCCTATTTCGAAAAGATACTACTAATAATAATTACCTTTGATGGTATTTCTTTTCCTACCTGAATAAGACAGGTGACTTTGAGTTTACTAGAATCATTATCTCTATTGGAATGCAGGGGACTATATTATCACCCCAAAAGAACATTTATTGATTTTTCAATATTTTAATATGTATCTATACTGCCTCTGTGAAGATGTTGAAATATGGAATTCTACCTGCCTTGGTAAGAGTAAGGTTATAAATATTTGTCTTCCTCATTCATTGTCAGTTAACTCAGACTGAGTATTCAGCATGTTGATTATCACTTTATACACATTTTTCAAAGATCTCTGGACTGGGCACAGGTACAAGAGCTAAAAGCCTGGCATGTCAGACAAAAATTCATTTCTAGCTTTGGAGCTTCATAAAGTATGACGTTTTAAAGCTGTCACTGGTAGGGGGCTCTCAACAGAGTTGATTGTAATCTGGCCAGGTTTTCTTATTGGAAAGGAAGAGAAGGGAGAACCCCATATTTTCTCATTGCTGTTAATACTGAGGGGTAAAGGAAAATCAAGCTGTGCAGGGAAGGCTCTATATAGTCTTGAAAGAATAGACCCTGTCCAGTCGAAGAGAGAGAAGAGGGATTCTATGAGCAAGGGACATCAAGATCATGATGGGGAAACCTACAGAGACAACCAAACCAAACTAGTGGGAACACATGGAATTTAGACCAACAGCTGTGGAGCCTCCATGGAACTAG